CAGGTGCTGGCGAAACGTTAGGAAACAAAACTTCCAGAACACGGCCACACAACCCGGAAGATCCACACCAGCCATAGTAATAATTACCTTGCTTGTTCTTCCTCTCTGGAACTCAAAGAAGCTTTACTTCAGTCTGTTTCTTGCAGCTTTTAGTATCTGCATGACTTCTCAAAGATTTTTCATAGCATGAGCTTTCTGATATAAGCTCATGACCCAATATAAATTCAGTACTTCATTCTTTAAATGTCAAGGAATTTGTGTTGCTTTTTCTAAAAATCAGGTACAATATACTCTTTGGAATCTACCCCAATATCTTTCCACCTTTCAGCAGAAAATAATAAGAGCTAGAAATCCATCCTATCAATTCTTTCAACTGTAGCTGCTTTTAATTGCAGACTACCTTTCCAAGGAGTTACATAAGGGACACATGGAAAATGGGTACAGCTGGCTTCCTTAATGCCAAGTTGAGTGTATCCCCTTAGGCACACTTCTCCCCAAATAAACCTATTTCAAAACACTTGCATCTTGTTCTTACATTCTAAATCCCCAATCCAGCTCACAACTCCAAATAAGCCGACACACACAAACGCACCTCCAGATCTGCCATATTTTCAAACAGGGTAACTTCCTTCCCATTCTGATCTAGCGCTCCCTTCAGGAACAGCAACACATACCACAACACACACACCCTTGTTTATTGAAACGTCTGGGCAACTGCCACATGCCTCCATACATACACGTATAAGCACCAACTTCACACCCTAAGGCCCCCAAACTCTTCCTTGGTCTTGCACCCATTACGCCGTAGAGCAACTCACATCTGCAGGCGCCTCAATAGGCCGTGGTGGAGGCGGACGGCCAGGCGCGGCATGTGAACAGCACAAACTCGGTCCCAGAAAGGCGAGGACCTTTCTCCGGGTCTCCGAGACGCCTCCCCCGCCCTCGCCCTTGCCCTTGCCCGGGGAGCGCGAGTGGGCTCCAGGTCGTTACCTTCCTCGGCGGTCTCCATCTTGTCCGGGTGACGCAGTCCGGCCGCGCAGGCGGGTGAGGCGTGATGCGAAAGTGGGACGGCTTGGAGACAGAGAGCGCACGATAGAGAGGAGGCCGAAAGAAGCAGTGCGGAGCGGGCCCAGCTGGGGCCCTTGCGGCCTTGCCGCGGGCTCCCCCTAGAGGTTTTGAGGCGTCGCTACCTTAACTGCCATCGCCTCACTGTGAAACGTCACAGAGAAAATTCAGAGCGTGAGGAGACTCCTAAGACAATGCAGTGATAACGCCATCAGGAACACAACCACACAATGACCCACATAAGGCTGCATGTAGAGGCAACGCTTATTTAATGCAATACACGCATCCACTGCGATGCCTGTCGTTTCCCTGCCACTGCAACGTCCACAGACGCATCCGCAGACACTGAGCAATTATATCTCACGCTGCACGAACGCAGGAACTGAATTTTCCATAAAGGGGGATCTAACTATCATTTCCTTGTTTCTCTATCCCAAGAAAACTTGAGAGACATCCCTGGCACTACTCCTGAGACCCCAAACTTCTTGGGATTGATGTGCACATTTGCAGTCTTAAGAACAGGTGGGTGCCTTGCAAACTGGCTGTTGAGGTTGGGGGGACTTGAACAGTCACAAATTGGCTGTCAACCAGGATCTAAACAATCAAGAGGCACCTGTTACACACCTAGATTTTCCCCTCATAGCATGATGCTCCATACTGGTTTATCTGTGTTTTCCAGATACGTGGGTATAGAGCCAAACAAAGTACAGAACCTGCCCTTCGTTTATATTGTCTAATGTAACTTTTGGAGCCTATTTGGGGTTCAGAGGCATTCTTGGAAAAATCTTAAAAAGATAAAAACATGGAATAAATTAAGGAGCATGGCAGATTCTAAAAGCTGTCTGGGACCAAGCAAGCACTGCTCTGTATCCAATAAACTCAGTTTGCAGGTCTAGGGGATTTCCACCACACCACCTAATAATGTAATCTAGAGACATGACTCAGTCACATTTTTCCATCCCACCCCCTTTTCCCCATCTTGTCTGATGAAGAGTTCTTGACCTTTGAGAGCTTACAAGGATTTTAGAAAAGTTCATTTGTCTAATTAAAGCATTTCTTCTAAAGCTCCAGGATACTCTGCCCTCCTTTGCACACCCAACTCAATTATCACTGTATTTTCTAAAAATGCATGTTATCTTTTATGTATATTTAGATGCCTAATATATAATGATTTATATTTGTGGTCAAAGGGTTTCTTCATAAATGAATGGCAACACATATAGAATATTATTTTGCCAGGAGTTGCCAGTATAGCAGTCCTGTACACTACCACTCACTCAGAATTTTCATGGACCTTTAATATTTAGAGTATTATGCTATATTCAGAAAAGTGAGATTGTAATGTGTCCAGCTTAACTTCCAGTTCAGAACCCATATTTTATGGGATTAGCTGTGTAGATAGTAATACACAATAAAGGCAGCTCAACCAATGACATATGCACATTCTCTGTGTGTGTGTGTGTACCCACAGTCTTTTTTTTTTTTATTGATTATGTGGTATCAACTTACTGTCAGCTCTTAGCAACCACATAGATAGATTTTCTTCATGACAATCTCTTCCTAATTTGGTCCTTCAGGTCTTCCAAGGACCTACAGACTATACATACTCATTTATGTCAGGAAGGCAAAATATTGTTGAACCCAACATGATTGTACATTTATTGTATTTCCATACACCATACACATTCAATGGTTTATAGATTCAAGGTATACATATGCATTAATGTATGCACATTATGTATTAATGTACATAAGTACATTAATGTAATGTACTTATTACATTAAGTACAGGTCTCACTGTGTACACATATATCACACAAAGGGATCAGGCAAATGGAAGATGCAAAATTTCATTTTCTGATTTCTTTGTTGTTCTTTCATCAAAATAATTTTGGGTGCATTTACTTATTTAAGGACTGGAACATGCTCTTCAAAAAATTATTCCTTGAACCACATTGATGGATAAATATGACATTTTAGAAGACACAATAAAGAACACCTTATAATGTTTACATACAGTGTAGAAATATTTCAACTTGTAAAACATTGAACTTCAAAAAAACAAATTTACCAACTCTTTATACTGTTATTTTTCAAACATTGATACTGAATTAAAAATTAGTTTTTTTAAAAAAGCATTATGTCATGAGCAGATCATAATACAAATTAGGAAATCTGAAGCAGGAAGAATTTATATTGTAATGCTCCTGGGTTGCTCCCAGTAATGCTCCTGGGTTTTCCAGAATGATGATCCTTGGTTGTTGCTGGCCACAGGTAGACATCCAGAGTCCAGTTTAGGGAGAAAAAGGAGGAGCATTTGGATTTTAAAATTACTCAGAATAAAACAGATTAGAAAGAAAGAGGGCAAGGAAAGTATCAGTTACATACATGTTTCAAAAAGTCAGACTACTGGAATTCACAGATAGCTATCCTTCCATGTTTATGATTATGATCTATATTTTAGCTTTGTGTGATCTTTTGATGTGTGTATGTGTGTGTGTGTGTGATATTTTAATCTTTTATTGACTACCATATGCTCATCTTGTTCTTGATGTCAGATTCCAACAGTGATGTTTAGTTTGGGGCAGGACAGTGTACTAATTCAAATCAATATATTGCATTTGGGATATCTGTCACCACGGTCTCTTGATCCTGTTAGGTTTGCCAAATCATCATATTGCAATGATGGCAGTGGCTACACTTGGTAAAATTCTCTGGCGCAGTTCAAAGGCTTGATCTAGACTTGTCAATCAGATATTCCTTTTGGTTCCTTAATCCATCGTCCTCAAATCTTTTCTTCACTTCAGAGTCTTTTCTATTTTCTTTTTCCTCAGAATCCAAACATTATTGCTATGTTGTCTTGCAGCAAAAATGTAATTATAATTCCACTTTAAGCCTGTAATTAAAATTGTAACAGTTGACTATATCAATTTTCCAGTGTTCCAAAGTGATCTTTTTCCTCAAAACAAATATAACAAAATACACATTTGATTACTGTTAATACAACTTGAGAATTATATTACACAAAACTTGTCATCCTTTGTTTCACTGAAATAAAAATAGACTTACAAGTTATTAACACTTTTAGCTTTAGGGCTATAAAATTGCATATAATAATTTATATGCCAATATCACATAATACATAAAACTCTGAGAATTTTACATAAGGAAAAGGCAAATCTCTGACTGAAGCACTGTTAAATCTAAATATAAATCCTAGTCGGAGAATCTAGATAAGAAGACAAGCATTGTTGCAAAGGGCATTCTGTGTGTGTTTTTTCTTTATCTAACAAATTTTGCATCCTATAAGGAACAAGATGCCAGCACACACTGGCTAACTTCTGTTGGTAAATCCAGCACTGCCATAGAGGTCATCTGGATAAACAATGACATCATTAGCCTCTTCTACTGAACTGCTTCCAGTCATGCCTCTCTGGCCATCCTGGATATATAGGATGGCCATTACCACACTAGGAACATTTAGGTGGTTTCTGTGATAATCTGGGTTGCACTAAAATGTGTACCAGGCTTTTATGTTGTAACCATATCTCCTCTACCATATACTAGCATCGTGACTCTTCCACTGAATCATACAGCCAAGTGTAAGCATTTTTTTTTCAGATGTTGCCTTCATTTTAAAGAATGGAGACTTCAAGAGCCCTAGAGGGCATGACTGACTGTTGTTTGTTTAGTAAATTTATAGATTGCTTCAGTCTAAATAGACTTTAAATGATGCAGAAGAGGTGAAGATATGGTGATGTTGTCTAGTGGCAAGCTGAATTTTGGGCAGTCTCTGGGAAGGAGATGCAGATACCCACATAGGGTAACCAATTTTTAAACTTAAATCATTTAAGATTAAAAATTACAAATAGGGTAATCAATTTTTAAGCTTCAATCATTTTTAAAATATCAAAAAAAAAAATCAAACCAACAAATAACTGCTTTGCTACCAAATTTTGATGGTGCAATTTAAGAAGGAATCAGCAGAACGGGTGGAGTCACAGTCATCTGCCTTTGCTATAAGTTTTCAGCTATCAGATCTTCACCACAGCATTGTGTCCTTGTGTCACTCATGAAGATCATCTGATTTGTACCAGACTAAGGCCCGAAATAGAGAACTATTAACGCAGAGAATGCAGCTCAGCATCACACCCTGAGTCCTGGCAGTAGTTGACTATCCTAACTGGGAGAAAAAAGGATTTTTGCACAATCCAGCAAAGCTCTCATTCAAAAAATCCAAACATTATCTGTATTCAAGCGTATGGGAATGACTTGGTTTTTGCCTTTAAATCACAATCCTGAAATCCATATTTATGTCTTGTTTCATTATGCTAGAAGAAAGAAGCAGATTGGAATGGAGTTAATATATAACAAAGATAATACATTAAATGTTTATTTAAATCCAGCCCATGAATGTAGTGTTTTTCCTTGGAGATAAATGCTATCTCTTTTCAAAGTGCTTCAGGAGGATTAATGAGAGACTACCAGAAAATCCTAGATTCTTAGGCTTGTAAATAGGGTAGTAGCTGAAAAAAAAAAATCCCACAAGAGGATTTGGCAAGAAACCTATAGGGACATGCCTTTAAAATTACCAGCTTGGCTCAAAGGAGATGTTATTTTACAGACGAGAAATT